CCTTCACACCTCTCCTGCCCCTCCCCTGCCTGCCATCCCCGCACCGCCTCCTCGGTGCGGGGCGACCTCCGCGCCCTGTCCGGGAGCAGTATCCGCGGCGGGCGGGCGGCGTCGCTGGAGAGAGTCGCACAGTCCCCGGGGGTCCGTTCAGAAGCAGGGGAGGGGCCTCGAACATCCCTTTCCACCTCCTCGTAGTTTCCACTTAGACCCAGCCTGTGCGGACGGCTGCCCTCACGTCACGGGCTGGCACTGCGTGGGAGGAAGCCGTGGCCGGAGGGGGAGGGGAAGGCTTGCCGATGACAACCACTACGGCGGTGATAAAAGTCATCTTCGGCTGTGGAACAGTCGCTGTGTGCCAGGCACTTGTTCTGAGCGCTTTGTGAGGCTTAGCTCATTTCTGTCCTCGCAATACTGTGCGCTAGGCATTCAGAGTTACCCCCATTTTATAGATGAAGAAACTGAGGTTCAGAGGGGTTCGGTGACTTGGCGGAGATCTCACAGTTAACTAATTGATTTGCCTTCCTGGGTTTTAATCTTGACTCTGCCATTGGATACCTGTGTGGACCTGGACAAGTCACTTAACCTCTCTGTGCCTTGGTTTTCTCACCTGGTCAGTGGGATGACGTGGTATTTCGCTCATAGGGGTTTTGAAAGAATTAAATGAGGTAATGAAGATAAAGTTCTCAGAACAGTGACGGGCACCTAGTGAACTTTCAGAAAGCGTTTGATAGTATGATTGTTGTCCTTCACGGTGTGGCTCAAATGTCACCTCTCCTGGGAAGCCTTCCACAATGCCCTTCCACCCCAGGCAGAGATTTGCTTTTCTTTTTCTCTGCTCCTGCAGCTTCAGGTTTGTATATTTTTCAAGTTTTAAATGAGATGATGTGACAGGAAGGGCCTGTCGCAGAGCAGATGTTTACACACATGTATGTCTCCCTGTGAGTTTGTCACGTACCTGCTTAAACCTCTTGGAAGAGCTGGCTCCCAGCCCGCCCCAGTCTGGTCAGCTCAGGCCTGGGCGCCAATGGGAATTGGTGCAGAGTGAGTGCGGGAGCCCCGCCCAGACCGGCGGGACCGGGAGTGCCCTGCCCGGCCCCAGGAGCAGCCCAACGGTCTGCTTCCCAATCTCTCTCCTCCGCTCCCCACCCAGCACCCCAGCCAGGCTGGGGATGGACTCAGAGCCCCAGAATTCTCTCCTTAGTTGGTGGCTGCCTGGTGAGTCCCCTGATCCCCCCAGAGACTGGGCCTCAGTTAACCCCATCTGAGAAATGGGTCTAGCAGAACAGACCCCAAGTCTTAGGAGTATTGCAGCATCCTTGGCAGGGTATGAGGAGTGACCCAGCGTTAGGTACAGAACAGTGGTCACCCCAAAGGAGCAGTTAAACCCCCTCCACTGTGATCTTTATCAGTCACCCTAGATCTCCCCCAAAGTAAATGTACAATCTAAGGGAGAAATGGTACTTGCTATGTAACTGCAGCTTCAAGACAGGTTTCCTGGCTGGGTGCAGTGGCTCACGCCTGTAATCCTAGCACTCTGGGAGGCCAAGGCGGGAGGAGTGCTTGAGCTCAGGGGTTCGAGACCGGCCTGAGCAATAGTGAGACCCCATCTCTACTAAAAACAGAAAAATTAGCTGGGCGCGGTGGCACGTACCTGCAGTCCCAGCTACTCGAGAGACTGCAAGTTGAAACTTTTTCTTCTAGAAGCCTGCAGAGACCTCAGACAGGCCATCCAGACCACTGGGACTGGATGATGGAAGCCGAGGGGCCTAGTCCTGGAGCCCTAGTGGGGCGACAGCCAAACTGCCACCCCAGCCCTCTTGGCCCATCTTCCAGAGCTAAGCAGGAAGTCACATTCCCAAACACCCCTCCCAGGCGCCTGGGGGAATTATCAAGGCTACAGACTGTGCCAGCCCAGCCTCCGGGGAGCCAGCTCTGTCACCTGTACAATATCCGGTGTCTGACCCCACAATTCGCCTGGGGCAGTGCCCCATTCCTCAAACTTTCCACATGGTCCGGCCACTTCCTGTTGTTCTGAGAAGCTTTGACCTGAAACTAGCAGGGGGCTGGAGGTCTCTTAGGGCAGTCCCTGTCAAGGGACCAAAGGGGGAAAGGCAGCCCAGAGAGGG